ATGTCTCCTGGCTAATGTTGTCACTGACCCTTCCTTTGAGTCCACTGCTGCGTCGGCCCTAGTTGCTGAGCTTGTCGACTTTGCTGCTTGCTGTCGTCTAGACTACGCTGCTAGTCTTGTTGCTGGGTCTGAGTCTGTCTGTCCTCCGTCCGTCGGGGGTGAGTGTGCTCTTAGCACGGACGTTCTTGAGGACAGGCAGGAGGAGTTCCAGTGCTTTGCTCCTGCTTTGCCTCATCTCGTGTCCACGCTGATTGCCCCTGAGGGAGACCCGGATGCACCAGACATCCCGACTCCTCGATCGTACGCTGAGGTGATCGAGGGTCCCTACTCCTCTCAGTGGCAGTCAGCCATGGACGCAGAGATGGCTTCCTGGAAGTCCACAGGCACCTACGTCGACGAGGTTCCCCCACCTGGGGCGAACATCCTCAGTGGCATGTCGATTTTCAGGGTGAAGCGGCCGCCGGGTTCTCCGCCTGTCTTCAAGGCGCGTTACGTCGCTCGAGGATTCAGTCAGCGGCAGGGAGTTGACTACTTTCAGACCTTCTCTCCCACCCCGAAGATGACCACTCTTCGGGTGCTGCTGCACATAGCCGCTCAGCGCGACTACTAGCTTCACTCTCTTGACTTCAGCACAGCTTTCCTGCAGGGCAGCCTGCACGAGGAGATATGGCTGCGCTGCCCACCTGGCTTCACTGGGTCGTTTCCTCCTGGTACCCAGTGGAGCCTCCGGCGGCCAGTCTACGGTCTCCTCCAGGCGCCCCGTGAGTGGCACGACACACTGAGGACTACACTTGCGGCTCTTGGGTTTTCTCCTTCTACTGCCGACCCGTCGCTGTTTCTGTGCACCGACACTTCTTTGCTGCCGTTTTACATCCTCGTGTACGTCGACGACTTGGTGTTTGCCACTGCTGACACTGCTGGACTCGCCCACGTGAAGTCCGAGCTGCAGAAGAGACACACGTGCACAGACCTGGGTGAACTGCGCAGCTACCTTGGCTTGCAGATCACCCGGGACAGAGCACAGCGCACCATTACCCTGACTCAGTCACACATGGTGCAGCAGGTCCTTCAGCGCTTCGACTTCACGTACTCCTCGCCTCAGGCCACTCCTCTGTCTACTCGCCACTCGCTCTCAGCTCTGCCTTCGGATGAGTCCGTAGAGCCGAGTGGCCCGTACTCAGAGCTTGTTGGCTGCCTCATGTACCTGATCACCTGCACACGACCTGACCTTGCATACCCTCTTAGCATCTTGGCACACTATGTTGCTCCTAGGAGACACCGACCAGAGCACATGGCTGCAGCGAAGAGGGTGTTGCGCTACTTGTGCAGTATGTCGGGCATGGGGCTAGTGCTTGGAGGGCGACGTCGAGTGGTCCTCACAGGTCACGCAGACGCTTCTTGGGCTGACGACCAGGCTACGCAGCGGTCGTCACAGGGTTACACCTTTAGCCTTGGCTCCGGCTCTGTTTTGTGGCGGTCTACCTGCCCGTCTTCTGTTCTCAGCTCCAGCTGTGAGGCTGAGATCTACGCGGGGGCCATGGCTGCACAGGAGCTATGCTGGCTCACCTACCTGCTGACTGACCTAGGAGAGCCGCCTCGTTCTCCTCTAGTTCTGTACGTAGACAACAAGGCCATGCTGGCCTTGTGTCGGGAGAACAGACTGGAGCACAGAACGAAGCACATTGCTCTTCGCTACTTCCTTGCTCGTGAGCTGCAGCAGCGTGGTCAGCTGCGCCTTGCTTACGTGGCCTCTAAGGCACTTCCGCCTTGTGATCATCAGTGCTTCGGTCCGATGCTAGGTCTTGTGCCTACTTGGCCTCACTTGCTCACTTCTTGACCTTGCTTGTACTGTGATCTTTCTATACCTGCACTTGCTTGTTTACCTTTATATATGATCTTGCATGTGAACTGGCCTTCTGGCCTTGCTCTTGTGCTCGGACTGTGTGGTGACGTTGTGATCCACCCTGAGCTTGCTTTGCTTTGCTTGACTGGTCTTGTGACCTCTTGTTCTCCCCCACTTTGCCTATGGGGGTGTGTCAAACTTTTATGCTATAGTCTGTGTAGGCTGTAGTGGGGTAGACAATATGGGGTACAACACTTCTAGGTTTTCCTACTTGTACCCACCTGCTTGCTAGTTCATTCATTCCTCATTCTTCACAGGGCCTAAAGGGGCGGCGACGGGGCCGCGAGGGGCGGCGACGGGGCCGCGAAGGGGCCGTGAGGGGCCTAGAGGGGCGGCGACGGGGCCGCAAAGGACGGCGACGGGGCCATAAGGGGTGGCGATGGGGCCGCTAAGGGTGGCGTGAGGGGCCTCTAGGAGGGCGCGACGTGAGGGCGGCCTACGGGGCGCGCCTCGGGCAGGAAGAAAAGATCGAGTTCAGTGGTGGGCCCTGAGAAGCGTTCCCACGAGGGAACCTGCTCTGATACCATGTGAAGAATGAGGAATGAATGAACTAGGAAAGAGGTGGGTACAAGTGGGAAAACCTAGAAATGTTGTACCCCATATTGTCTACCCTACTACAGCCTACTGAGACTATAGCATATAAGTTTGACACTCTTGGAGGGCAGAGAGGCGAGCCAGGGGAGCTACGCAAAGGGGAAGCGACGGGCGGGGAAGAGGGTGACGCGAGGAGCTCGACATACCTTGGGGACGGGAGTAGAGGCGGGGGAGGCCTAGTGGCGTAGAGGTGGCATGAGACTAGTGGAAGGAGGGGGGGGGCGATTGCAGTTCTTGCATGAAAAGGACAGGTGAGGGGAGTTGGGTGGTCGAGCATCATATCTGCTCCAGCGAGGCTGCCAGCACACCTTCTTCCCACACGACGTAATAACTGGCAAGGCGCAGTTTGGGGGAAGGAGAAACTTCAAGACTTTAAAAGAAAGCCAAAAAAGGTACATGTAGTGCCGTCGGCTGCGCCAGGGTTGTTGTTGGTACCTATTGAGCTTAAAAATATGCCACAAGTTGGGGGGGAAAAGAGTGAAATAGCGGGGTGGCGAGGAAAGGAGACACTTACCGTTGGTTCGTTAGGGACGAGGAAGCCGTTCGAAACTTCTGGCGGAAAGCATCGTGAAGCGTAATTGGGCAGGGATTGATAGTTTGGAGGTTGTATTTGTCTGTTCGGAAAAAGGCAGTGTTGTTCGGGGTTGGCAAGGGGTGGCCAAGCTGCTTGAGCGAGACGAGTGTAGTTGTCGCTGTAAGTTGAAGGGGTTGTGGGCGGCTTGTTTGGGGCGCCAATCAACTGCTCACCAAGAGGAGATAGAAACCCAAACCAAACACAAAATGGGGACTAAGGCGGGAAAACCTTACCGTCAGTCGGGACGAGTCGAGTGAGGGGAACCTGCATAATCTGCAATTGGTTAGACACTTCCGTGGTTTAAGGCAATGTAAGTTAATCTTTAGGCAGTCCCGGCCATTACGGCCTCTATGATGTGGCTGCGAAATAGTCGCAGCATTCCCTTGGTTGTAGGCACGAAGGAACCCGAATGAGCAATCGATGTAGTTGCTGTACAAAACAGTACTATTCAGTAATGATGAGTCGTCCATTCGAAAAACAGACAACCAGAAAACTGAAGTTTCGACCTGACAAAAGTGATAACAATTCCATACTGTTGTGGCATGCATACGACATAGCATGCATACTCACGAAAAGCCATGCGAACCTTGGCGAGTACAACTACCACCCCATGGTTAGAATGGTCGATGGTTCCAACCATGGGGTGGCAAAATGGTACCGCACCCTGAGTACTTCCTTCCATATCTACTATAAAGCTCTTGTTCAATTGTCCCTCACCTCAGACCCCTGACATTACATAGCAATTCTTCAAAACCATAACCCCAAAACAATATAGCCCAACTGTGTATACTCCAATCACAAAGTGATCGTGAATCTCACATGCAAAGACCCTGTATTTTCCTCCAGGTGCAAAATCCCAATAGGGGGTTCTGATTCACAATTTTGGGCATCATAAAGCCACACCAAATACCACAAACACATAGTAATTTTCCACTTTGATTAGGTTATGAAACACTCATCGTTCCTTCAAAAAAACTGTTGATTCTGTAAAAAATAAAATTTGTATCCTTTCATTCTCCCTCCATGCGCTAGAGGTTTGTTGTACGGCCACACTAGCAAAAAGAATTTTGAAAGTAGGTCAGAAAGTATTTATTAAACCTTACATGGTTTGGGTTCCACGTCGTTCCAGACAGACCCACATGAAAATTGATGCCATATTTTTCTATTATTTGGAGGATAATGGCACAAACAAGATAAAAAAAATGCAAGCTTGCGAATTATATTAGAGGGAGAGAAATGTCAGAATATTATGTTTCTCTTGTCCGCAGTGGGGTACTCTATAGTGAGTACAACCCTTTTACGGTTTGCTATATGTATCCCAATGTTTGCTAGTGAATCTCTCTTCTTCATTCCTCATTTCTTCACATGGTATCAGAGCATCTACGCTCCTGGCCTGTGGGCCCACCTAACTGCTTCCGCTGCTACTCTGTGCTCTGCACGCCCCGTGGCGTGCCCCTCGCGCGACCCTTAGTGGCCCCGTCGCCACCCCTCGCGGCCTCGTCGCCGCCCTTCTCGGCCCCTCGCGGCCCCTTTGCGGCCCCGTTGCCGCCCCTTTCAGGCCCCTCGCGGCCCCTTCGCGGCCCGTCGCCGCCCTTCCAGGCCCCTCGCGGCCCCTTCGCGGCCCCGTCGCCGCCCCTATCGGCCCCGTCGCCGCCGCCAGCGGCCCCGTCGCCGACCTCTCAGGCCCCTCGCGGTCCCTTCGCGGCCCCGTTGCCGCCCCTATCGGCCCCGTCGCCGCCGCCAGCGGCCCCGTCGCCGACCCTAGCGGCCCCGTCGCCGCCCCTATCGGCCCCGTCGCCGCCGCCAGCGGCCCCGTCGCCGCCCCTAACGGCCCCGTCGCCGCCCCTATCGGCCCCGTCGCCGCCGCCAGCGGCCCCGTCGCCGACCCTAGCGGCCCCGTCGCCGCCTCTATCAGCCCTGTCGCCGACCCTAAAGCCCCGTCGCCGCCTCTATCGGCCCCGTCGCCGACCCTACCGGCCCCGTCGCCGCCCCTATCGGCCCCGTCGCCGCCTCCAGCGGCCCCGTCGCCGCCACTTGCGGCCCCGTCGCCGCCCCTTTCGGCCCTTCCTCGACCCTGTCCCGGCCCCGCCCCGGCCATGCTCCGTCGCCAGACGCGGCGCACCGGGGGCACGTGCACCGCCCCCCCCCTCTTTTCCCGTCGCCCGTCGCGGCTCCCTCGGGGGCCGCGACCTGGGGGGGGGGGGGGGGTGAGCGCCGCCCCTTCTGCCGCCTATTTTGGCGCCCTGTGAGGCCGCGCGTCGCCCCCCCCCCCCCCCCCCCCCCCCCCGTACCCTCCCTACCCGCCGTCCCGCCCTGCCCTGCGTTAGGGTCTAGGGGTGGCGAGTAGGGGGTGGCAGGTGTGTGGTCTCCCCTGCTCCTCCTCCTCCTTTGTCTCCCACTACTGCAGCTGCCGCTGAGGGGGGTGGGTGTGTGGGAGTCGACAGAGTGGTGCTAGGGGGTGGGGTGTGAGTGAACCTAGGGGTGCACTAATGGGGAGGTGAAATGGGGGTGGGATAGTTTGGGGAGGTTGAAGGGGGTGGCCGCCGTGAAGCCCGCAACTCCAGTCGCCCGTGAGACCGTTGCGCCAGTCGCCCGTGAGCCCGTTGGGCCAGTCGCCCGTGAGTCCGTTGCTCCTGCCGCTCAGAGTTAGCTGCGGAGCCAGTTACTCCAGTAGCCCGTGTGCCAGCTGCTCCAGTTGCCAGTGTGCCAGTTGCTCCAGTTCCCCGTGTGCCAGTTGCTCCAGTTGCGCCGTGTGCCAGCACCTTCAGCTACCGCCCACTACCTCCTCTCCTCTCATAGTCCCTCCTCCTCCACACTTGCCCTCTGCGATAGCCTCTAGCTTTGCTTACATTTGTGAACTTTAAACTGTTGCTTCTTGTACTTGTGCTCAGAATGTGTGGTGACATTGTGATCCACCCTGAGCTTGTTCTGCTTTGCTTGTTGTGCTGATTACACCCCACTTTGACTATGGGGGTGTGTCAGAATATTATGTTTCTCTAGTCTGCAGTGGGGTACTCTATAGTGAGTACAACCCTTTTAGGGTTTGCTATATGTATCCCAATGTTTGCTAGTGAATCTCTCTTCTTCATTCCTCATTTCTTCACAAGAAAGAGTGAGAGAGAGAGAGAGATAGGGAGAGAGAGAGAGAGAGAGAGAGAGAGAGAGAGAGAGAGAGAGAGAGAGAGAGAGAGAGAGAGAGAGAGAGAGAGAGAGTCAGAGAGGCACTAGGCCTAGTCCTTCGTCTCTCCAAGCTCTCTAGCCTAGTCTAGCCATAGTATAGCATAGCTATAAGGCTTTATAAGCCTTGTGCCCTTAGTGTAGCCCCTGCAGTGAGCCTATAAGCAGCACTAGCTCCTATATAGCCCCCCTTGTTTCTTCATTCCACTCATTATTCTTTGGTGAGTGTGGATCCTCCCAGCCCCCCGGCTCGAGAGGCATTAGGGGTGGCAAGGACACGTGGAGAAAGAAGCAGTTACACAGGGAGCAGTACAGGCATGCAAGCATAACGCTGAAAGGGCCACACTAACGTAAGTCCCCTGCAATGGGGAAGAAGAAGCCGGCGACAAAGGATGTAGTGAAGGAAACGCCTACATCGGCTCACCCGCCATCCCAGCCACCGGAGCACACACGCGATTGCAGGGACGATCCCAAGCGTGGACTCCTCAGCAGCCGTGGCTACCATGCAGAAAGCCGCAGTGCCAGGTCCGTCGTCTAGCAAAGGGTCCTCAGGTTCCAGCGGCAAATGAAGAACATCCCACAGTGCACTCGACACTCTGCACGGCGGGGCCGCCCCTGTTCGTTCTCGCTCAGCTGCGGATCTCGGGCAACAACCTCCCGGGACTGGAGGGCAACATGCTGGAGGTCAAGCACGAAGGATAGCTCCGTCACGCAGCGGTCAACCTCCGACAACCGCATCCCACGGGCCTGGTAGGCCCCATCTCCAGGCTGAGGCTCCCCACAAGGAGGGCTCGGGGGAGGAGTTCTCCAGTTCCAGTTCTCCTCGCGAGGCAGATGAGGCCACGATACCCCCCTACAATCCACGTCTGGGTCACGAGGAGTGCCCGGCACCTCGTCGTCGTTCCAGTAGTCGCGGGAGAGGCCATTCACCGGCTGATGCTGCGGGACCAGGGGAAGTGCAGGGCGACGGGGGGCAGGGAAACGGCAACACCCGGCAGGTGAGCAGCAAAAAGGGAAAGACATCACACGACAAGCAAGGGGGGAACGGCGAGGGGGGCTACTCACAAATCCAAACTGGGTGGCAAAGAGATGAGACCCTGACACAAAGGGGTGCTGGCGACGAGGCAGGCACGACTGGGGAACGGGGGGAAGGAGCCCGCGAGGTGCAGGCGGAGCTGACGCAGTTACATCCAACCGAGGTGGGTATGAATACGCGAACCGAGCGACGGGAGTTGGCACCGACGAGGGCGCCGCAGGAGGCGGAGGAAGGGGGCAGGGGCGACGGGGAGCCCGACTCTGGGACTGATGGCGGGGCGGGGGCGGGGGCAACGGCAGGTGGCACAGGAGCAGGCTATAATGGCGGAGGCGCGGGGATAGAGGGCCACGTCTGCTGAGACGGCGCCAAACCCGGCGCCGACAGCAGCGGTCGCGAGGGAGAAATTGGAGGCGCATAATGTGCTGGCGCCGCCGGCGGAGGATGTTGGGACGATGCGGACTCGGGCGGGGGCGGAGGAAGCTGCAATGGCCGAGACTGCGCGGCAGGAATGGGAAGTTGCGGTCGAGGACGAGCCTGACCAGAGGGCGGCGGATGAGGAGGATGGCGGCGGCGGAAGGACAGGCCACGTGCACGAAGAAAATGATGGGTGCGCCCGCGGGGGGAGCAATACACCGGCTCCCTTGGCCGTGCTGGCATGCTCGGCGACGCAGAAGGGGCGGCGCCAACACCCGCAGCTAGGTAGTCCGCGACGGCTAGGAACAGGGCTGGCATTTGCCCGCCCGGGGCCCCTGGTCGGGTGGGCACAGCTGGAGACCTCGCCGCCAAGATCACATCACGCCGAGGCGGCAAGCGTCGACCTGTCATCGGGAGCGAGGGACGACGTGGGACGGCCCGACGAAACAACTGAACGGGCAGAAGCTGAAGCGGGAGACGCGGCGGCGGCGGAGGTGGAGGACCGAGTGACCGCGATCGATCGGCGTCGAGGGGGAACACCACGGCAGAGGGTGCTGCGAGAACGCACGGCAGAGGAGCGGCGGGTAACCCGCCTGCAAGGGCGCGGGGAAGAGAGCCGGAGGCGCCGAGGGGACGTAGCGAACAAGGCGCGCGCGGAAGAGGAGGGCGAGGGGGCCTAGCGGCAGCGGTGGCCAAGGAAAAAGCTAGATCTGGGCCATGGCGGGAAAGGCACGGGAGGCCAGAGAGAGTTCAGGAAAATCGGCCAATGGAGGATGGGGAAGACGATGGGGATGAGGATTATATGGAGGAGGAACAGGGTGACTCTGAGGATGCTTCTTTGGAGGAGAAACCAGGAATCCCAGCTAATAGGGCGGACTGAGGGGCGAGGAGGCGGGGACACGAGGCTGATGCCAACAAGGGCGAGTCACGTGGCAACCAAACCAACGAGGCTGCCAGCAAAGCAAGATCACCGGCAGATATTGCTGATGACTCAAACACGTGGTGACAGGTGGAAGGTTGGGAACTGGGGCCACTGCGCAGCAGTGCCCAACCCTTTCTACACCAGAAGTTACCTCCCACGATCCAAGGATTTTATGCCTACTGCTTGACGATCCCCCTCCAACGCCTGGCAAAATTTCTAGGCTGCGTCCGGGCCTGGCGGATCCTCCAGTTCCTGCCTCGGCTGACCCTTCTGTCAGAATGTTATGATTGTCTAGCCTGCAGTGGGGTACTCAATAGTGAGTACAGCCCAATTTAGGGTTTGCTATATGTACTCAACTGCTTGCTAGTGAAACCCCTCCATTCCTCATTCTTCACATGGTATAGAGCTGGTTCCCTCCTGGGACTGTTCCTTCCTAGGGCTCACCACTTCGCTAAACTTTTTTTTTCTGCCCAGCCCTTAGCGCATTTCGCGCTCTGCCCTGCTGCCCGTCGCGGCCCTTCGTGGCCCCTTCGTGGCCCCTTCGTGGCTCCTTTGTGGCCCCTTCACGGCCCCGTCACGGCCTCTCCCCGGCCCTGCCCCGTCGCCCGGCCCTGCCCCGTCGCCCGGCCCTGCCCCGTCGCCCTGTCGCGGCCCCCCGTCGCGGCCCTTCTGTCGCGGCCCCCCGTCGCGCCCCCCCCCGTCGCCGCCCTTCTAGGCCCCTCGCGGCCCCTTCGCGGCCCCGTCGCCGCCCCTAGCGGCCCCGTCGCCGCCCTTTCGAGGCCCCTTGTGGCCCCCCTTTGCGGCCTCGTCGCGGCCCCCCGTCGCGGCCCTGCCCCGTCGCCCGCCGCGGCCCTGTCGAGGCCCTGCCCCGGCCCTGCCCCGGCCCTGCCCCGACCCTGCCCCGGCCCCGCCCCGGCCATGCTCCGTCGCCTCTCGCGGCGCACCGGGGACCCGTGCACCGCCCCCCCCTCTTTTCCCGTCGCCTGTCGAGGCGACCTGAGGGGGCCGCGACCTTGGGGGGGGGGGGGGGGGGGGGGGGGGGGCGAGCGTCGCCCCTTCTGCCGCCTGTTTTGGCGCCCTGGGAGGCCGCGCGTCGCCCCCCCCCCCCCCCCCGTAACCTCCCTACCCATCGCTCGGCCCTGCCCTGTGTTAGGGTTTGGGGGTGGCGAGTAGGGGGTGGCGGGTGTGTGGTCTCCCCTGCTCCTCCTCCTCCTCTGTTTCCCACTGCTGCAGCTGCCGCTGAGGGGGGTGGGTGTGTGGGAGTCGACGGAGTGGTGCTAGGGGGTGGGGTGTGAGTGAACCTAGGGTGCAGCAGGGGGTGTGTGAAAGGGGGGTGGGATAGTTTGGGGAGGTTGAAAGGGGGTGGCCGCCGTGAAGCCCGCAACTCCAGTCGCCCGTGAGACCGTTGCACCAGTCGCCCGTGAGCCCGTTGCGCCAGTCGCCCGTGAGCCAGTTGCTCCAGTCGCCCGTGAGTCCGTTGCTCCTGCCGCTCAGAGTTAGCCGCGAAGCCAGTTACTCCAGTAGCCCGTGTGCCAGTTGCTCCAGTTGCCAGTGTGCCAGTGTGCCAGTTGCTCCAGTTGCCCGTGTGCCAGTTGCTCCAGTTGCGCCGTGTGCCAGCACCTTCAGCTGCCGCCCACTACCTCCTCTCCTCTCATAGTCCCTCCTCCTCCACACTTCTTGTACTTGTGCTCAGATTGTGTGGTGACATTGTGATCCACCCTGAGCTTGTGTTTTGCTTGCTTGTTGTGTTGATTACACCCTACTTTGGCTATGGGGGTGTGTCAGAATGTTATATTTGTCTAGCCTGCAGTGGGGTACTCAATAGTGAGTACAGCCGAATTTAGGGTTTGCTATATGTACTCAACTGCTTGCTAGTGAAACCCCTCCATTCCTCATTCTTCACACCTTCGGGCCAACATTGAGAATGTTCGCAGAAATCACTGGGCGTCCGTGGAAAAACGACTGCACAATTTCAGGATGAGAAATGGGAGCTGCTTTTTGTGGAAGCCGGTACCATCCCACCCAAATCCTAGCCCAGCAGACACCAACTGGACCCTGAAGGCATGTGCTCCAGAGCCGAGGGCCTGGTACGGAAGGCAAACCTAGCGAAGGCCCTGGCGGTGTTACAGGTTACCCCACTTGCAGAACAATCACCTGTGACACTCGCAACGCTTCGCGCTAAACATCCAGACTGTGTGGTAGGCACACTGGGTGCCGGATATAGCTCCTTGTCGCTGGCTATTGCTGCAGACGATTTCCGTGAAGTGTTAGCTAAGTGCCCGAACGGGATTGGAGCCGGGCCATCTGGTCCGTGCTTTGAACATCTGCGGGACCTTGCGCTGCTTAATGGGGAAGTTTTCACGCTCCTGCATCAAGTCATCAATACGTTGCTGAGCACCTACCTCAGCGAGCCGCTGCGAGACCTGCTACTCCCGTCCAGACTCAGAGCACTGGAAAAGCTAGGAGGAGGAGTTCGGCCGATAGCGATAGGAGAGTCGATCATGAGGATAGCCGCGAAGGCAGCGCTACGGAAGCTCTCGGCCGACATCCGACGATTCTTTTTCCCAGTGCAATTTGGCGTAGCGGTACCACGTGGAGCAGAAACGATTATACATGCTACGCGGTCCCTCCTGTCCCAGCACCCCACGCGGATCGCCATACAACTAGATGTCGAAAATGCATTCAATTCGGTAGAACGGGAAAGCTTCTTCTCATCATTCAAATGGACGACACTAGTGGAACTACTGTCGTTTGTTCGCACCCTGTACGGCTCCCCATTGCGGCTACTCTTGGACGTAGGGTTCGAGGAGAGACACATCGAAAGCGCAAGGGGCATTTGGCAAGGAGACCCTCAAGGACTGATGCTCTTCGTGGTGGCTATTCAGCCAGCGCTCCAGAAGGCGGCGGCGATGTACCCTACGACAGTGGTGATGGCATACGCTGACGACATCACTATCGTAGGGGACCCGCCAGAGGCGATTCGGGGAGTGAAGGTTATAACCGAGGAGCTGTGAAAATGCGGATTACGGTGCAACTTGGAAAAATCCTCAGCATGGTGCCCAGCTGGGTGCTCGGATGAACTTCCGGAGGAGCTTGTCGCGGCAACTGATGGCATCCGCGTACTTGAGGGGCCAGGTGGGGACTAGAGACTATGGGAGGAGGTTCTTACGGTCAAGCCTGAGCGCGGTGACGGCACCACTAAACCTAATCGGCAAACTGCACCCACAGCACGCACTCCTCCTGCTCTCGCGTTGCGTATCAAGGCGGGTATTGTATATGATGAGAACTACCCGTACTGATACGCCGACGCTGGAGGAATGGAGGGATTGGAGCGAGGAGCTGCTCTGGACGGCGTTGAAGGCGGCACGGATGTACGCACTGGCAAGTGAAATGGAGCAGAGCCTGGTCTGGCGCCAAGCAACGCTACCGGTGTGCCTCAAGGCTTGGGGTTGATAGACCCGCTTTCAGAGGCACCAGCAGCATAGCTGGCTTCCCTACACATGGCGAACACCCTCCTTAGACACACGGCGATGGCAGCAGACAACCCCTTACAGTAGGTGACGGACCTATGTCATTGACGTGACGGTCACGGACCCTGTCCTGTAGCGACGTGACAAGAGGGCAGTAAAGCCACCGGGTTGGGCAGCAGAGGACGCTGCAAGAGTGAAACTGGGCCTGTATGAGGGCCGCCCGGGTTTTGTAGGGGGTGTTCGGTTTGGCGGTGGAAACCTACGGGGCACTGGCTAAGGATACACAATGGTTCCTCCTCCTCCTAGGCACCCAGGCGGCAAAGAAGAAACACAGGCAATGTAGACTGACTGATGTGGCCTCTCGAATCACGGCACATTACCGACAACAGTGGTCGGGAATGCTCCAGCGTTGCCAAGCAAATGCCCTGATGGCCAAGTCCAGCAAGGCACTTGAGGCAGCGCACCCACAAGCAGAGCTGACCCGTGGGACCCAAGCCTCGGGGACCTATGGCAGGTCCTCGAGGATGACCTGCCCTAGGTACTCTACTTGGGGGAGTAGCGGGCTGGGTCAACCCCTAGGGGCCCGCCCATGCTCAGGAAGCTCTCCTCCGCTAAACCCTAAACCCTAAACCCGCACGCGGCCCCCTCAGGTCGCCTCGACAGGCGACGGGAGGGGCGACCTGGGGGGGGGGGGGGGGGGGGCGAGCGTCGCCCCTTCTGCCGCCTGTTTTGGCGCCCTGGGAGACCGCGCGTCGCCCCCCCCCCGCCCCCCCCCCCCCCCCCCCCTAACAACCCTAAACCCACCGTCCCGCCCTGCCCTGTGTTAGGGTCTGGGGATGGCGAGTAGGGGGTGACGGGTGTGTGGTCTCCCCTGCTCCTCCTCCTTCTTCGTCTCCCACTGCTGCAGCTGTCGCTGAGGGGGGTGGATGTGTGGGAGCCTGGGGTTTAGGGTTTAAGGGGGGTGCTGTGGGAGTGGAGCTAGGGTTTTGAGGGAGGTGGATGTGTGTGAGCCTGCGGTT